GGATGCATGGTCCTGTGTCCAAATCAATCGAAAAAGGGGGAAGAAGAAGAAAAGACACATGAGTGGACAGAACAGACAAGGAAAGAGGGAGGCGAAGAAGGGAACACAGCATGTCAACCAACGCACACACACACACACACATATATCAGTCGCCCTTCTAACCTTCATCACTCATCATTGTCATCGTCGTTGGTTCCATCGCTTCATGCGCCTCCTCAACGCTGTGAAATGTGTGTGCACAGACGCAAGATGGTAGAGAATGCGGGGGTGAGGTTGACAGCGAAGCATCATCAACCACACGCCAGCCCCATCCAACCATCCGCACTGATACACATCCACACGCACACATGTTGTCCCCACTCATCCCACCACCATGCACGCACACACACAAACATTGCTCACCTCTTCATGAGAGCGACTGACATGTGCAATGTCTGCCTCACGCCAGATTGGGGCTGGCGTCGGCTGGGTGTGATGGCGGCTGTGCGATCGATGGCGATGATGGTGATGATGGTGGTGACGGCCAAGCTGAGGTGGAAGAGAAAGAAAGGAGAGAGAAATGGGGAGGGCGATGATGATGATGGGTCGTTCATGGCGGCTTCCTTCCCCTCCTCTGATGTGGCCCTGGTGCCCATGCAACCAACACACAACGACAAGACACAACGACATCATCACACACAGCACACAGGCATGGCATGTGAGCACAGCAGGCGTGTTCACCTTCCTGTCCCTCTTCTCTTCTCCCTTTCCCTCCTCGCCCCACACACACACACACACACACACACACACACACACACACACACACACCTGCGCATGACTGCGTCGCTGTGGTTGGATGTGCCCACCATGACCATGGACGTGTGTGTCCACAGCTGCTCCTCCCAACCCATCATGTGTGCACCCGCCCATCATCCTCCAACGATCCTCACGCAGTCGCTCCCTGCAGCCACAAGCACACACAAACACACTTTGCATGTGAGCTGCACAGCTACACTGGGGTACGGGGCACAGCAGCAGCAACACCAAGCACGCCCAGAGCAGCAACACCAACACACGCACCATGTGCCAACCAAAGCATCCATGATGGGCTGACCTTGCTCACATGTAGGAATACTGCATGAGCACAGCAGCGACAGCCGAAATCGGGGGAGTTGCAGCAGCAGCAGCCGGCATGCGAGCCCGCTTCCATCACCATCCTGATGTGTGCTGGTACCTCACCACCTGTGCATGTGTGTGTGTGTGTGTGCGTGCGTGGTTGCAGGGAACGTGGATGGGAACAGAACACAATAGGCACAGAGCAAGCCATCATGTCAGCACAGCAGAAAGAGTGATTGACGTCACACGCACCACGTGTGCGTGTGTGTGCGTGTATGTGTGCGTGTGTCAGTGTGTGTGATCATCATCCCCCATCAACCCTTCCCTCGTGTTCGCTTCACCACATCACCATCACCACCGCCAGCCCATCACACAACCAACCAACCACTCATCACCACCCACATACCATGTGTGAGGCGAGTGCACCTGGCACGCGTGGCAAGTATCCTCGACATTTCCCTCATCCTGATGCTTGTGCGTGTGCATCGCCTGTAAGTATGGTTGTGTGCGAGCACCAGCATGGTGAGTGAGTGAGTGGGAGGGAAGAGAAAGCATTGATGTGTGCGCAGCTACACTGCTGATGCCACTGCTGATGTTGTGCATGCATGTGGGTGAAGGAGGAGAAAGGGAAGAGAGAGAAAACAGAAAACAGAAGGGAGGGAACAAGACATGCTGTATCCCATTCCATCCACCCATCCCTCTTCCTCACACCACCACACACCACCGCCCTCTGTCACCAGCCACACCACACCACACCACACCCAGCATCCCCCACCCCACCTCATTCCATCCATCCATCCATCCAACACACATCTCCCCTTTTTCCCCTCTTCTTCTCGCCCTCACCTCTGCTGCTTCTGCTTCCAGCCGAAAATGCAGCTTGTGCTGTCGCTACCTGTTCCCAGCTGCAACAGCCAGCCAGCTTCCGCCAGCAGCTGCAGCGGGCGATGGGTTGGTTGGTTGGTTGGTTGGCTGGGATGTGTTCAGCAGCAAGTGGTGGTGGTGGTGGTGCATTCTGTGCTGCTGCTGCATCGGCGGTGGAGGGTGTGTTGGCTGCTGTTGTTGTTGTTGTGATGGCCGCCAGGGAGGGCGAGAAAGAGGGGGGAATATAAGCAGCGACTGCAAGGTGGGGAATATGCAGGTGTGCAGGCAGTTGTGTGTGTGAACGAAGAATGAGACAGCGCATCAAGCAAGGCAAAACAGGCAGCCGCACCACACACATGCATGCACATTGATGTGGAACAACGAGGGGAGACAGGAGCAACAAAGACAGCGACCACAAAACACGCACACTCACGCTGTGCGCATCATACACACATGCAGTGACGCACTCACGTTGTTCATCGCTTGCTTGTTTGTGGTGTGAGTTGGTGCTGCTGTTTCCACAGCCGCATACAGCGTGGCTGGATGGTCATCACATGGCAGCGCCCGTGTGTTCATCCCACCAGAGCAGTGGTGGTTGGTGCAGGAGGGGGTGGGGTGACATCTGCTGGCTCAAGGGCCCTCTGTGTGGCGACAGCAGCAGGAAGGAAGGAGAAACAAGCAAGCGTGATGGTCGTGGTGTTGAAGGTGGGAAAGGAAGGATGTGAGCAAACACACAAGCAAATGAGGAGGCGGTGATGATGGCGTGTCGGTGGGTGAAGAAGAGAACGCGCACGTCAACACACACACACACACACACACACACACACACACACACACACACACACACACACACACACACACACACCTGTCTGGGTGATGCAGTGGTTGGATTACCATTCATCCATCAGCATGTAGTCATTTGTTGGTTGGTTGGTGGGGGTCGCCCACTGCCTCACGCATCAGCCAGCACCTGCTGCTGCTGCTGCTGCTGATGATGATGATGGAATACATTCATCTGCACGCACGACCACAAACGAGCAAGCAACAACAGCAACAGTGAGCAGCATGTCACAGACAGAAAGGAGGAGAAAGAAGGGGGAGGATGAGCAGAAACACAACCCCGTGCACACACACATACATTGGCTGTGATGTTGGTTGATGTCATTTCCCCCTCTCTCCCATGTGTGTGCTGCTCACTGGTTGAGAGGTTGCATGATCCATTCTCAGGGCCGCCCCTGCACGACGGTGGCTGATGGCGGTTGTTCTGTCACCACACAACGGTGAGCAAGTGTGTGAGTGTGTGCGTGTGTGTATGTACATTTGTGTGTGCCACACGCAGTGGTGTGTGCTGGTTGTGATCCAACCACCCGTGCATGGATGGATGGATGTTCCACCTGTGTGTGTGTGTGTGTGTGCACGATGACAGCGTGCGCTGTGTTGTTGGTGGTGGCTGTTGTTGCTGTGCGCAGTGTGCAAGGAGAAGAAGGGGAAGAGGAGGAGAACGGAGTGGAAGAGGAAGAAGTGGGAGCATTCCATCTCACCCTCACCTGTCTGGGGCCGGACATGCCAATTTGCCGGCAAAATCTATTTTACCAATATGCCGTCAGGCCTTTTGGCTGGATGGTAAAATCAAGCGATAGTTATGAAAGACATCCAAGATAATTCCCGACTACGACCACAGTCGCACCACGCACGACAACCACACATCAGACGCACATCCAACATCCCCACTGACCCACGCCGCCTCCTTGTCATTAAATCATGTCAATCTTGTTTGCGAGACTTTACCATCACCGATTTTACCATCTGACATTTTACCACCGCATGACTTTCCCCGCCAAATTGGCATGTCCGGCCCCAGACCTGTCGATGGATGGGTCATTCATGTGGTCGTTGGTTGGTTGGTTGGTTGTGAGTGGTTCATCACGGGAGAAGGAAATGGACAACGATGGATGGAAGGGAGAGAGGATGAAAGGGAGAAAGGGAGGAGAAGGGGAGAGAGACGGTGCGCACACCCTCCCTGCGTGTGTGTGTGTGTGTGTGAATGCGTCAGCGAGAAGGACGACGAAGGGAAGGAACGGAAGGAAGGAAGGAAGGAAGGAAGAGAAGGAACGTGGCACGCACAACCACCAATGTGTGTGTGTGTGCACGAACCAATGACACATCCCCACCTCACCCCACCCCACCTCACCTCACTTCACCTCACCTCACCTGCCTGTCAGCAGCGACGACGACCATGATCACCATCACCATTCCCACCACCATCACACACCATCACACCAGCTGCTGCGCAGGAAGAAGAATGAAGCAACGGCGAGTGGATTGGTTGGTTGGTTGGTTGGAAAGCAGAATCGGTTGTTTGCTCGTTTTTCTGCTGCTGCTGGTTTTTGGTGTGTGTGCGATTTTCCTCCTCTTCCTCTTCTTGCTTGCTTGCTGGCTCTGCCTTCATAAATTGCTTGTCTTGCTGTACTGTCGGCAACGTTCATACCAACGGGATCACGCCCGCTCTCGTCCGATCGCGGAAGCTAAGCCCGTTTGGGCCCGTTCAGTACTGCCGTGGGTGACCAGGCGGGAATCACGGGTGATGTTGCTCTCTTCCTTTTTTTTCCTCTCTTCATATGGGTGCTGCTGTGCTGCTGCTGTGTAGCTGCTGTGGTGGTGTCTCTCCTTCACTTCCCTCTCCTCTTGGCTTGTTGCTTGGTTCGGTTTACTTCTTCTTTTCCTTCTTTGTTTGTTTGCTGAGCTGAGTTGCTTCCACTTCGTGGGGTGAAGAGGTGGTGGCGTGTGTTGGCTCATCTACCCTCTCTCTTGTTGCTTGCCCTCAGCGTTGCTTTGCTTCACACACACACACACACTGCCTGGCTGACATCGTGTCATCTCAACGCGTTTACTTCCATGTACTGACGCAGAGGAATCACACACAGGTGGGCTGAACTAATGAACTAGTGACAAAGCTGAGCTTGGTTACGCTGTTAGACAACCTCTTCCACTCCTCCTCCTCCTCCTCCTCCACCTCATCATCATCATCATCATCAAACACATCACATGGGTGTATTATCCTTGGCCGCCTTTCGTCGGTGGGCGGGGGTGTTGCACCATGCAGACTCCTGCATCACATCGTGTGGCGTGTCATTGGGCGTGCCGTACGCCAGCCCTTGCACTTGCATCTTCCCCCTGCGAACATTTGTGCGTGTGCGCCATGAAGGTGTTGGTGGTGGCAGCGAGATGCTGTGAGGTGACCGCGCTGATTCGCACCCATGCACACGATCTCTTTCACACACACACACACACACACACACACACACACACACACACACACACACACACACACACACACACACACACACACACACACACACACACAAACACACTCACCTGCCACGCGTTGTCGCCGCTGAACAAGTTGATCCTGGCAGACTCCAGCGCTGAGCGGCAAACAACACAGTCATGACACACGAGTTGGCAGATGGTGAGAGTGGTTGAATGGACACGAGAACAGGCGAGCAACGCACACACCACACCATACGCCCCGCACTCACTCGACAGCCCCTTGTGCCAATGACTCACTCCCTCACCTGTGTGCACTTGGGTAGAGAGGGACTTGAAGAACTCCTCAAACACAAACACAACGCGTCTCTGCATCATCTCCACCTCCTCATCGGGGATCGACCGCAGGACCCTCGGAAGCTAACCGCAGTTGTGTGTGTGTGTGTGTGTGTGTGTGTGTGTGTGTGTGTGTGTGTGTGTGTGTGTGTGTGTATGAGAGTGTGTGTGTGGTTTGTAGGTCAGCTTGCGACATTGATGAGTACGCCCAGGATGGGCGGTTAGATAAGAGTTCGCTGGCGTACCGGGACGAGGGGGATGGGGTG